TCAGAAGGGACCATTCCCTGGAGAAGGATGTCACACTTTGTAGGGTGTAGGGTCGATGAAAGAGGGGGAGGCCTTCAACGAGATGGATTGACATGGTGGCTGTGATAATGGACTCAAGGATAGCAGGGATCATGGAGCTCACGTGGGATCAGGCAATGTTTCATTCTTCTGTGCATGGGGTCACTATGAGTCAGAAACTACTCGATGGCACCTAACTATAACAACAACAATAGGCAACCTAAACTGGGAGAATGTGGCTTCCATTTGTGCTTGAATGTAGCTTCCATTGGCTACCCAAAGACTATTTCCAAGAACCCAGATAGATGCACAGAACTATTTTCTGTGTCATGAGAACAAAAGTCACTTGATTGAGATGTCATCAAGATGCTAGAGATTCAAGAGCAGGCTACCTCCATAAGTAATGGGCCATCACAAATACGGAATATCCCATAAATAAGTGACCTTCTTATTACATACTATCAATGCACTTACATTGGTAAAACCAAGAGAAAACAAACTGAGTACCTTTGAGTCAATTTAGACTCAAAATGACCCTATGAGACAGAGTAGTATTGTTATAGGGTTTCCAAGGCTGTAATCTTTATAGAAGCAGACTGTCACATCTTTCTCCCAAAGAGTGGCCAGTGGGTTCAAACCACCAATCTTTCAGTTAGCAGCTGAGCATTGTGCTACCAGGGCTCTCTTCCTTTGATAAGTAAGGAGACTTTGATAAGTCTCTATGACAATGAGCCAGCCCATAAATCTTACCTGTTTGCCTTTCGGTTTGTTTATACTCCACTGTGCTAACATTTTATATTACTCCAATCTCATAAGTGCTAAAATAAAGATAGATAGGGAGGAAAGGACTAATTGTTGGGACAAAGTTCCTGGTGAGGCAGCAATAAGTGAGAGCCAGAACTAAGATGAATTTTTGTTGAAAGTTTGGAGGAGGTCATCTTTTCTACTGTGGAAAAGAGAAGATTGAAAAGATAAAGATAAATGTGTGGGTTTGGAACTTGACAACAGAGAGTTTCTGCCTTATAGTCTCTCTTTTCTCTGTGATATAGGAGACAGCTTCATCTGCTGATAGTGAAAGGCAAGTGGTCGGATAAGGGGCTTAAGGAGAGTAGGCAGTTTCCACACAGCCACTCTGGATGATGCTAAATAAATGTATTGTTGCCAGGCATCATTGATGGCTTAGTTGAAGTTGGACACAAGGAATACTAATCTATACAACTGTATGATTTTTCCCCAGTACCAATCAGCATACCAGGCAAAATGCAGGTAGATCACTGTTACTGGTGTTTAAGGGGATGTTTGTAACACTACTGAATAGTTAGTAGTTGAAGTGACAGAAATTAAATGAAGTTAATAGTTGGAGTCCTTCTTGATCAGGAATGGGAAAAAAAAAGATGTGGGTCAAATGTTGCTAGAAATTGAAGAGTCAAGGAAGTAGAGGTCTTAATGAGGGAGAATACCAAGTGTGCTTGAAGAAAGGGCTTTTGAATGGATAAAAGGTGGTTGTTACATTTAAAATTTCTGAGATGGAGCAGTTCTGGGCAAGAAGTCTCATGTGACCATGGAGATCTTGGTGGAAATGGAATGAACGTAAAAATCATTGGAGTTAAGGAGTCAGAATCTGTAAAACTTGAGACTTGTGTAGGGCAACACCCATACAATTATTAAGTGGGAATTAAGGAAAAAAGAAGAAGACTTAGCCAGTTACCAAATATTTCTATGAATGAAAGGAAATATGAAATAATTGACAAGAAGTGGTGTGCCTTCTCTAACCAAATAATTTGGGCTGCAACAAAGATTGAGGAACAATGCCTTCAAGGTAATATTGAGAGTGTATAAAGGAAGCAGAGTCCTTGGAGAAGAGTCCAGCCACATTAAACCAGGAAGAGGAAGAAGTACTTTGAGAAGTTAAATATGTAAGGAAGTATGTTTGACAAGAAACAGGGGCTTTTTGAAGGCAGGGTGGAAAGGAAGAGGAAGTGCCAGGAAATACAGAAATATGGCAGAGTGATAACTTACATTTTGGATCACTCTGGTAGCATAGTGCCTAAGGCGCTTGACTGCTAACCAGAAGGATGACGGTTCAAACCCACCAGGTATTCCTCGGAAGGAAGTTTGGGCAATCTACTTCCTTAGTGATATCACCTTGGAAACCCAAGGAGGGGTCGCTCTGAGTTGGGTCCAACTCAAGGGCACACAACAACAACAACATCAAGCCTGCATTCTTGCCAATATTTTGTTTCACCTCTCAAAACCAAATTTACATACCAATATTAACTTTAAAAAATAATTAATTCCAGGCATCTTCATTTTGTTTTATATACCACAGAAGAGTTTCCCAACCAATACTGATCTCTCACAGTGAACCTATAAATCTGTATGTAGGACTAACCTCTTGCCTGTTTTTCTTTCCCAGAACCCTTAAGCACTGTTACCACCATCACCAAAGGGATTGGAAAAGGTAGGGAGAATGATACACAGACTTAGTGTGTATATGTGATGTGCTTGTATATGTGTGGAAGGGGCAAGTTCTCTAGTAGACAGGACACAAATGACCAAAAAAAGTCTATCGCAATACTAGCAGCAAGCATCTTGAAATTGCTGTAAGACTTCAGAAACCAGGAGCTCAAGGCTCATCTTCTCTCAGCAGGTTTATTCTCTATGGCCCCCACTCCCAATCTCCTGAGTTTTGGCAAAACTACCTCATGCTCAGTTGAGGCTTTTTTGTTTTTCTTTTTTGTTTTGAGGCGATTGTCTTGATCTCCAATTTAATGTGCAAGAAATATAGGCCCTGCTGGCTTGAGCATGAATTAGCTACAGCACAGAAATAGATTCCAAACAGGGGCAGTATTAGACTACAACAAATACCAGATGATCTGCACCAGCTATTTTTATTTTTTCTTCTTTCCATATTGCCTTTGAGATACCAAATAACTGAACCTTTGGAACCAGTCATTTCTGCTCTCAAGAAATTAGAAGTTCTTGTCTTAGACAGCTTAGGTCCAAATAGTGCTTTACTCCCCACCCCATCTGTCCTACACTAAGAGAGATTGAGGAAATTCTGAGAGCTGGTAGGGACTTTAAAGGTCATCAGTTTAGTCAAGACGTTTTTCTTCTGTGTTTGGAGAAGTCTTTAGGATCTGCCTAAATATCTTATGAACCAGACTAGGGTGTGTCCGGGGGGAGGGGTGGGTGGAGTGTCTCTTAGCTTCTTAGTGCTGCCGTAACAAAAAATATCACAAGTGAGTAGCTGTAAAGAACAGAAATTTATCATATCACAGTTTTGGGGTCTAGGAATCTGAATTCTAGGTCTCAGCAGTACTGTGGTCTCTGGCTAGAAGATGATTTTTTGACTCTTTCAGATTCTGGTAGCTCAGGGCATTTCTTCACTTGTAGATAGATTTTCATATGGGGCCTTCCCTTGTATCTGTGTGTCTCTGTATTTCTTTTCCCTTTTTATAAGACACCACTCAGAGAGGATTAACAAAAGAGAAACAGTGGTCACATTCATAAGTACAGGGGTTAGGACTTCCATGTATCTTCAGAGGGACACAATTAAATCCTTAACAAGGAAAGATAGGGAGAGACTAAGTTGGCAGGGATTCATATCCCTGTCTGCTTCAGTATAAACAGCTCCATTATGATCTTTAAAAATATGTGTATATACATATATATGTGTGTGTGTGTATACATGTGTGTATATATATACACATGCCTATATTCCTTATAACCTCTTTTTTGTAAATAATAATAATAAGGAGAAGATCTCTATGGTGGGGGGAAATATCCTTAAAACTGTTGGTCTAATAAAAACCATTAATTTTCTACATGAGAAGCTAAGAGACGGAAAAATATTTGTCCAATTCACAAGATGAATAAATGGCAGAATGTAGACTCAGAATGTTTTCCAGATTCTATCTGAACTCATTACACTTCAGTAATGTTCTGTTACAATATTCATTCATCCACTTATACATTCATTACATAGATTCAGAGTGTCAGGGATATCAAAACAAGCAAGATGTAGTCTTTACTTTCCAGGAGATTACTGTTTAAAAAGGGAATGAGGCACAGAAATAATCATTTCAGTGCTGGATGCTATGTTTTGTAACATCTAACATTTATTGTATGTTTGCGATGTGCCAGGCGCTATGGTAAGCATTTTGTAAATATTATCTCACTTAAACATCAGAACAAACCCCTGGATTAGGCATGGTTATCATAACCATTTTATAAAAGAGGTGACTTAGGTCCAGGTGGAGGGAAGGACGTGGTGAAGTCACATGACACAATGTCATACAGCAAGTAAATTGTGGGGGAAAAAAAGAATACAGATACTTTGGAAACATTTTACAAAGGATCATTAACTAACTGCCCAACAGAATTGAAGGAAGCTTTGCAGACATATAACATTTAAGCTGTGGCTAAAAAGATAAGAAGGAAAAAGAATGTAAAAGCATGAGCAAAGGTTTAGAGGCAAGAATGATTTTCTATTACTGAAGACTAGTAGATGAGATGAGAAAAGTAGGTAACATTTTACATACTTTGCTCAAGAATCTGAGCTTTACTCTGTAGATTAATTGGGGGTTATCAAAAGTTTAAATGCCAGGAACTGACACAATCAGATATTTCTCCAGGAAACTTTAAAGTTACATAAGCGTTATGGATGACCCAAAGAGAAGAGAGACTGTAGGCACATTAGAATGTTGTTGTCATAGTCCAATGGTCAAAGTGAACATTGATAAGCTGCAAGATTGAGTCAAACATTGCTTCCCTGAAGTTTCAACATATTGCTTCTAATTCAACACCTTCTGAGATCATGCAGATCAAGTCCAACACTTTTGTCTATATCACAGGCCTTTAGATATTTGAAGAAATTTATCATGTGCCTTCTCACTATGACTCTTAGCTCTTCCTTTGGGGGATTGAGGTCTCAAAGATTCCTAAAGACCCATCCAAAAATATGTTGTTTTGCAGATTCTCTGTAAATTCTGAATCTGCCTCCATCAGTTGGTCTTGTGAGGGATAGAATCAGTTCTTCTGTCCTATTTGGACAGACTTATTTGTTTTTTCCCAAGAGTTGAATGTAAAAGATGACTTTTTAGAGTACCCTCCATCCCAGAGTTCCCATTTGCCTCTTGCTCCATTTCAGCAGCCATTCCCAGAGACACTGGAGAAGGCAACGTGAAGATGCTAGGCGTGCAGATACCCATGGAAGATGTCGAGATGCTTGCCTCTGTCTTGATTGCTACGGGTATCATCCTCCTGCTCATTGCTCTGGTTCTTGGTGGAGTGGTCTGGTATCAACATCGGCAGAGAAAGCTACGGCGCAACAGGCGGTCCATCCTGGATGACAGCTTCAAGCTTCTGTCCCTCAAGCAGTAATTTCTGGGGCCTAGGGATACCCCAAAGAAGCATACTTTGAATCCATTCTCATCAGGCCATGGACTGGCAGCTAATCCCAATGTCAAAGGGGACATGGGTAGTGGAGAGGCAGGGAGCAGGGAATGAAACTTATCTGGGTCTTATTTCATTTATTTATTTACGTGCAAATGGTATGATTACATGTTTTCCTTTTGTTTCTTGGGCACCTGAGGCAAGATGAATCCCCTAGTATCCTTTATCAATAATTCAAAAGGTAGATTATGAGGGTGAGATGCCACTCAAAGACCCTTCAAAATTCTGGAAATTCTTAAAAACTGATACTTCTCATAAATGAGATACCAAGAGAAAAAATTCATTGATTATGTTTCTACTGCCTTCCGAGGGCCTGAGAAACTTAACTTTGAGGCTAAATTATCTGAGGAGAGAAGCCACATCTAAACTAAGGACTGAGAATGTAGGGATGATGGGAAATGAGGGGTGGGAATTGAGGATCCAAATTGTATATTGATTCTCCTTGGCAGATTCTCCTTTGGAGAAGTGGGTAGAAGGGTTATCGCTATCATCAACATCGATAACTTCTGGAGCCAGAAGTTCTTCATGGAGCCAGTCTTTCTCCAAATTCCTAGCACAGTGGCACTATAAGGAATGTTGAATAAGTACTCATTGTTTTATGCAGCAAAACCTTTCCATTAAAGTACTTGTTGAAACACTGAGAGGCTGAACTTGGTGATTTTGATAGTCCCTATGACCTCTGCAAGTTGTGACTGTAACAGAAACAGAAAACACTTGGGAGTGGGAGAAATACAGTTTTGATCTGCCTATCCTTTGTAGTTGGAAGGAAGGTTGGGCAATCTGCTTCCATAGTGATACTGCTTTGGAAACCCAAGGAGGGGTCTCTATGAGTTGTGGGCGACTCGACAGTACATAACAACAACAATCCTTTGTAGAGCCAGCAGGTTTGTGTTGTTTCAGGGTTCTCTAGAGAAAGAGAACCAGTAAGATGTGTGTATATATAGTTACACACAGAGAGAGAGGTTTATTTTTGAGGAACTGACTCACAGCATTATGTGATTGTGGGGATGAGCAAGTCCAAAACCTGTAAGTCAAGTTACAGGGTGAAAATTCTGGCAGTTTTATGTCCCAAAATTGGTAGGTTAAGTGCTAAGGAAGCAAGATAAATTCTGACAAGATGTCTATATATAGTCTGAAGGCTGAATGCTACCTTGGGAAACCCTCATTTTCCTTTTAAGGCTTTCAACTGACTGGATTAGGCCACCTTACACTATAGAAGGTGATCTACTTTACTGAAGGCCAACTGATTCAAATGCTAGTTCATGTAAATACTTCATAACAGCATGTAGACTGGTGTTTGACCAAACAACTGGGCAACATAGTCTATCCAAATTAGCACACAAAATTTACCATCACAATATACCCCTTGTCAATTTGGCACCCATACACAACTATTAAACCATACTTAATGTACAAATAAAAACAATAAGAAAATCATACTTACTTCTGACATGATAGAACTATCCTGCTCATACCAAAAATAACACAAGTCCATTCCCCAGGGAA